TTTTGTTGCGGCCAGCGTATTTTCTTTGGTTCTTTGCAGCACAGTTTTGCACTTTTTTATTCCGCTCTTTAAAAGGCGTAAACTTTTCAGACAGCGGTGGTGCTAAAGTGGCATTTTTTCTTTTTGTTTGCTGTCCCGTTTGTGCCGCCTTTTGCTTTGCAATTTTTTCCACTCAAACATTCCCTTTTTGCACAGTGTATGTCCACGGGGCGTATGGACAACATTTGGGCCACCTTCGTGCATTTGATTTGTGGGGCCATAAAGTTCCGAGGCAACAACGATGCTCCGATATTTACAATTTTAATTCAATTTGCTGAGAATTCCTGTGTGTTCGTCCGTTCGCTTGTCAGAGGCCACGGGTGGCTGGGAGGGGGCGTGGCCGGGGATGACCCCCAAAGAAACACTTGCTGCTATTTTTGCACATTAAACTAATCGATATTTTATGTGCCGAGTGGCCCGGGGAGAGGGAGAGGGATACGGAGAGGAAGAGCATTAGATGCAAGTACATTTTAGCCATTTTGTCGTCGTGGTTGTAGTCGCTTCAATGACAGCTCGGCCGAAGGACAGCCAAGGACTCGTAGCATGTTGTTGTTTAATTGTCTGTAAAATTGTTAAATTGCTTAGCGTGTCAGCAGGATCTGGGCAAGGATAAAGGGGACTGAGGGACAGGATGCTGTCAGCAGCTACGGGGTTAACATGCATGTGCAATTACTATCGACTGCTCTGTGTCAGCCATTCGATATCATCGATTCATTTATTCATTTCCAGCTGGCACATCCATTAAAAGGGGGTTTTAAATTGCAAAAAGAGAAACTTTTACAATCCAGCAATTAAATAGGAATTTAGTAAATAAAAATTCAGTGAAATTGATAACATTTTCAATGACTTAAATATGTGTTAAGTAATCCCTAAAAAAAAACGAAGATTTTCCTTGTTTTCTATAACAAAAATATGGTGGCTTGCCAAAAAAGTATGCTATGCAATTTGAAAGTGCAGGTTTTTTATGGTCAGCCTCTAAATTGAAACTCGAAACTTGCCAAACCGCAAATACAAAGATCAAAACTGCCGGGACCCATAAAACTGGCTCCACTAATGCCATAAGTAATCGTTTTCCTGGCAGACCTTTAAACTTTACTTATTTTTTTATCTGGTTGTTGGGAAAGGGAATTGCTTACGTGATTGAAATTTTGAAAATTCCCAAACAAAGGCCGCCGACATAGGTTGGACTGCTATTTTTGTTCTCTTTTTTTTTTGGCAATCAAAAGTTGTTTGCGCCTTTGTAGTTGGACTGTTTTGTGGCTTGTTTTCAGGCGCACCCACGACAAACTCTGAGCCCAGACCCCTGAAAACCCAGCCCGGCACGCAGTTGGCATAACAAACACAAGTCCAACAGAAAAAAGCGAGCCAAGTTTCTTGTACCGTTCCGTTTCCACATGGCCAAAGTCCAACTTTTGACATTGACACTGTTTCCAACTCGTGTCTCCTGTCCCGTTTCGTCCTCTCCGGCGATCCTGCCCCATATCCGTGTCTTGGCTTTACGGCGTAATTGGGCGTGAAGGGTTAAATTGAATTGCGTGCTCACGGGAGCCAAACGCTTAGGAAAACACAAACATAGCTCTGATTTCCACAACTTTACACATTGATAAAAATTTAGTATTATTCATTATGTATTTTAATATCTAATAGAAATTACACAAAGTACTTCACATATGTGTAGTTATACTTATTACATATGAACTATAGACAAAAGACAATACCTTTATGTACGTTATAACTAAATAGGTTATTAAATTACCCAGTTTTCCATTTATATTTATAATATATTTTTAGTTCCTGTGTAGAGAATAACCTCATTTAATACTGGGTCAGTTCGTGACCGACATAAGAGTATTCATATTTCCCATTTTGCGTTCATGCATTCCCACTAAAATCACTCTAAATTGTTTTCTCGTTACAGCCGGTGGATTATCCTGTAAAAATGTTAAAACTATCTAAGTGTGTTTGCGATATCCTTGTAGATGTGTGTGCGTACTATTGTGTAAAGGAAGTGCGTGTAATTTGTTAATATGTATTTATTATGATCCTACTTTGTGATGGTTTCTTAGGCTGAACTTATTCATGTAACTAAATCTAATCGAGGGTGACAAAGACACACTCGAACTGTATAAAAAATCGACGAGCAAAACAATGTAAGGCAAATATTCTAACTAAACCACTCTCAACTTTTGGGACAACTTAATTAAGCTGTAAAAGTAAATTAGCATAACCACAAGGCACCAAAGGATAAACAAAACAAAAAAAAAGAAACATAAACAAAAATATATAAAGTATACATCTAGATGTAATTGGGTTCGTCAACTTCTATACAGGGCAATCGACCAGTAAATAAACCAATGAACAAAAATTGTTAGCAAACCCAAAACTGCACCAAAAGTAAACCCTATATACAAATGTACAACCGAAAAACACACAACCAAAATACAAGTATTTACAAGGATAATATGTATGTTCTACAGTCCAAGGCATCCAGAAAATAGTACTATAGGCTAAGTAATCGTATATATATGCATATATAACATATATTGAAGAACTCTCCAGGCATCTCGGATAATCCAAAGATCGTTCAAGTTTCCATTAATTTATGGCATCGTTATGAAGGACAAATCTCTACTTTACTCTAACTGAAAAATAGCTTTATAGTTCTTAAGCCATCACGTCGGAGGTCTCTCTCCGAAATCATGGACTTTGGTTAAGTACATACCTATCGATATATATATACATATATATATGTAGATATATCCATAGCAATATCAATGTGCACAGATGCAAATACTCTATAAAAAAGTAATTAAAATGAACTAATTAACTGTATCCAACTGTTCAGCTGAATGTTCTTCTAAGGCGAGCGTAGCTTAAGATTCGATTTGTTTTCCGTTGGTCTAAAAAGAGGTGTTGAGTGTTAAATCTAAGTTAATTACTTGTACTGTAAGACGTGTTAAGTGCTAAGCTAACTAGGCCCACTATCTGCCCCTCCTGTCTGTCTTCATCTGTACACGAAATTGAGTATATAAATGTTAAATATGTTAAAGTGAATCAATATGTAACTGTAACCCAAGAGTAAAATGCAAGATAAACATACGCAGAAGCAAATAAAAATATTTCATTGAACCCTGAAATGTTGATGGTGTGTTTTTTTATGCAAGGCATTATAGTTTTAATCAGAATACTATGATTAACTAAATATTTTGTATTATTTTTTATACATACCAGTAAAGCATACAATTCTTAAACAGCTTTTTCATAAATAAAGCCTGCAAATCAGAAATATTGTCATAAATAAATTAAATTTCTTTTTGTTATTATTTTCTTTTTATTTTGTGGTAAATAAATAAAGTTTGATGCGTGTCGTTTCTTTGAAAATGAAATTCTGTAATTACGTTTGAGGCTGTAAATCCGCGTCCTGCAATTTCTTATTCAGCCCACGATCGCACGTCTGCGTCAGCTCATCAATGTGCTAATCAAATTACATGTTGTTTCGACTTCTGCCACTTGGATTTGGGCAACAAAGCCTGGGCAGCCTCCTCCTCCTCCCGTGCGATTCGTTCGCGAATCCAATAACTCGCTCCACAAACCAGGAGAAGCAGGCTGGGAATCAGGATGAGCAGAACCAGGCCCAGAGAGATGCTTGCAACTCGGGCCGATTGCTCCTCGTGTCCTGCAAAAGTTTTTTAATAGGAAATATATAATTTTACATAAAGGAACCGCTTTAAATACATATTGGACTTCTTTAAAATATTACACTTTTATTCTTATTGTAATTAAGTAACTTTTTTCCACACAAGTTTAATTATTTAGCTTCATTCGACTTTATACAAAGAAACAAAAAAATGTAACCACTATTTTATTGTCTCTCCTTTCAGGTCAAGTTTTCAGGTGTATTTTTAGCTTTGTAGCTTCTGGGTAAAATTCTGTTACCTCTGCTGTTCATAAATTAAGCCACCAACTAGGCCATCCATCTAGCCATCCGGCAGTCCACGTCCACTCCTCCCACCTTAACCCCTCAAGGCTCAAAACTACATAGTCGCCTGGTTTTCGAACTCGTTTCGTCCTGCCATTGTTGTTTGGGTCTATTCCCGGATAGACAAACGCTGCATACTGGCACATTGATGGAAAGGACGAAGGATTCAGCAGTGGCATCAGCGACAGCAACAGCGGACAAGCAGACATAAGTAACGGCAACTTGTCCATCAATTTGCTCAAGATTGATTGACATTGGCGTAATGCACACAATACATTTCTTCCCCCATGGGTGGGCGTAGGTGGAGTGAATGGGCGTGGCAGTGGTAACAGTGGCAGCAGAAAAACAACAATGAGACCCTGCTTAAAAAAAAGAATCAACCGAGTGACAGTCGAAGATTAATGTCTCTGGCTTCGGTCTTATTGCTTCGTTATAAATTTCATGTAATTCGTGTTTGCACTGCCATTGCATTGAGGAGAATACACTGAACAACAATATGGGGATAGTAGGTGGATTAAAAATGTAATTTAAAATATAAAAAGTAAATTATAACAGCTTTTTAGCGTATAAAAACAATGTCTAATTAATTTTATATTCAATTCAAGTATAAATTAAACCTCCCATTTTGTGCTCTGTGTGTAGTGTTTTATATTTATATTATTCTGAGTTCAATTTCATTAAAATTCTCTTCTTGACAAAATGTCTGACATGCAGTTTATTTATCTTGCAAGTTTGTACTTTTTCCTCTACTCTGTTATTTTAATTGTGAGCTTAAAGCTATTTGTAGTGATTATTTTGTCTTCAATTAATATGTTGTCTAGTGTAATTACCACAGCTTTTACTACAAATTATTACAGAAAATTGACAGACATTGCAAACTAAGTAAACCCTGCGAAGTGTCAACTTTCATGTAACAATTGGCATTATCAACTCCGCCTGCAAGGAAAACAAGAATCAGGATCATTATTAAATACGAGAATTGTTAATGTGTAAAGTACTATAAACAAGTGTGTTGGTGTTTTATTCAATACAAAACGATGATCATTTACCTGGGCCGAATTAAATACAGATAGATGACTTAACGATTGGTTTATGCTTAATTATTGCGATTGTGATAAACAGCTGGGACTATTTTATATGGGTTTTAGGGCAGAGCTGCAGAGGGAAAGCACCTTGACTTTCACAAGTCGCTGGCAGCCCTACTTAATGGGGGTCATGGCGTACAGGTAAAGAGTCAAAGGCAAAGTTTCTTAAATCTAGTTATTAATTGGGTGGCTTTTAGTATTTGAACTTTGCAGCTAGGGGCAGGTGGGCGATGTTCTTCGGATGAGACCTCCTAGACCTCCGTGGACTTCTGCACCGAGGGAGTGGGCGAGGTGGCCAGCGGTGGCGATGGCAGGCCGCTGTCCTGGGTCAGCGGCGTCGGTGCTGTTCTCAGGGCCACTCCCTGGGGAGTTCCGCTGAAGTACTGCGTATTGCTGGGAAGGACTGGCACTCCTCCGAAGCGATTCTGGACCGCTGCCTGCTGCTGCGGGGTATAGTTGATGGAACTGGCCCCGCTGGTGCGACTGTCTAGGCCGCTGAAGGTCGGGCTGTACTGCTGACGATGCAGCTGATCGGCCTCCTCCGGCGACAGTGGTTGATGGTAGCCCGCCGGGTGGATGGTGCCACCATGGACATCGGCCTCATCGAAGTCATCGTCCTCATCCGGATGGTGGTTTGGATCATCGTGCTCTCCTTGCTGATCCAGCTCCGTGCCAGAGGGAGAGCGCAGGGAACGGCGACCCGACTGCTTCGGCTTCTCACCTGTTACGTGGGTTACGTTCGGATTAATGTAGGAAATGTCCTTGGCCAGCTTGGAGCTGTTTCTATTCTCACTACCTTCCGAGGAGGTCACGTCCTCATCGTTCTCATCCAGATCCCATTTCTTAGCTGGAAAATCAATTTGCGGTTTGCCTGGTAATGGTTCGTTCGTGCGATATACTTTGTCGTAGGACCTACTTTTCTTCAGCGTACTCGCATCCGTATCGCTATCATCGTCATAGTTCAGCGTCCGCAAATTCCTTGCGGAGCTGGCCCTCGACCTGGGCAGCATCGGCATCTGCCACTGCGGATCCTCCTTCAGCTGCTTCTGGCGGTAGCGGTATACGCCGCAGACGATGCACAGCATCAGGGGGCAGATCACCAGGAAGATAATGCCAATTGCAATGAAAGCGACGCGACGCGTGTAGTACACCTCACCTGCGCGGGGAAAGCGGAAGCGTAAGGTCAGCAAAGGGTCAGAGGACAGAATACATAGGTATCGATATTAAGGGTTAGTCATAAAATAATCTACTTACTGACTGTATTTTTAAACTTTGAACAAAATTTATATTTTATTTATCATAGGAAATTTAAAGATTATTAATGGCATTCTTAAACGCTTTGTAAGTATAATTTTGGTAACATTTATATGACGTTTTAAACCAATAACTCCCTTAATTCAGTCAGTCAGTAGAATTTGAAACAAGTAATTAACAATTAAGAAATGGTCTCTCTATATAACGAGTATTATTCATTTATCAGTACTTACGCAGACATTCGGTATAACCGTATTCGGGAACGTTCCAAAGACCATTGGCCAAACACTCTCTCCTTTGATCTCCTACCAGAATAAAGCCTTCATTGCACTCAAAGGACACCTTGGCTCCTGGCATAAAGTCAAAGCTGAGCTTGCGACCAAATCGAGGAGTTTGCAGCACACCACAGGATATAACAGGTCTAAGGAGGGAAAATATTAAAGATTAGTATTGGGTTTCTCAAGAAATAGTGTTTAAGAAAATAACATAAAATTCTATTTAGATCTAATAACTTACTTCGAATTCTCCGACTGCATATTGACTATAGTGTCATAGTAGTTCTTTGTAAAATGCGCCAAATCTCGATTGAGGGTCATCGCATAATCATACTGGCACTGCATGCACTCTCCACACAGCTCCTCGGCCCTCTCTAGATCATAAGTACGATTGGCAGGCAGGAAGTCGGCAGGATCCAGGACATAGTTCGGCAGGAAGGTGGCGTTTGCATAGTAGCTGGACATCCTTCCAAATTCGCGGGTGAAGAGAGCAGCTCCAACGCCAGGAACCTCACGATCCGTGAGCATCCATTTGATGCCAAAGTTGGTGTGGATGCTGCGTAGGTCGTTCAGGTTCAGAGTAGCCACCTGGCCATTGGGTAGCATAAAGTCATCCAGCTTGTTAAAGCTCCAATTGCCAAAGAGTCCAGCTGTTTTGTTCTGAAATAAATAAAAAATAAATCATATTTAAAAACAATGTTATATCTTATAGTAGACAAGGACTCACTATAAACTTCCAGGGCAGGAAAACGCGACCGGTCATAAAGCCCTCATTCTCAACCACCTCCACGCCAATGCCCGCATCGAACTGCACCACCACCTGGGACTGATTGAGCAGGTAGGTAGGAGTGTATACGGTGACTCCGTCAAAGTGCTGGAACTTCAAGCTCTCACGATCGAAGTACACCCGACGACCATCGGCCAGGACGTCCAGGCGATAACGCCAACGGGCATGCAAAGGACGCAGACGCACCTCAATCGTGGTGGTTGTATTGCCTCGCATAGCCATCGCCGTCAACTGTGTAGCCTTCACCTCGCCATAATAATTATTGGGCAGCTGCTGGAATCGTCCTTGAATCTCGAACCTGTTGCTCTCATCCACACTGCGAGCCAAAACAAACTCTCCCAATCCGTTGAAGGTGTACGCCTGTCCATCAAAGGTCACAAAGTGAGGATCTCCAAAGACGCCGGCAATTCCAGGCGCCTGATAGGCAACACAATCCTGCGAAGGACGACGCTCGAAGCGATAGGTTTCACAGCCAACGGCCTGTTCCTCTTGCCAATAGCAGCAGGAGTAGAAAGGACGCATGTCATGGAACCACATAGACAGGGAAGGCACCTTGCTGGCCTCGTTCCAGGGCATCTTGCCCAGGTTGTGAACGCGACGAGGACGAGAGCCCCACATCTGGTCATAGGTCAGCATCAAGAAGCCATAACGATCGTAGCAGCACTGCTGCTCAGCTCCTTGGGCACTATACGATATTAAAGTATTTAAAATAGAATCAAGAATTACTTATTCCTAGATACTTACACTGGCGTTCCACTGACCACACAATGGATGGCTCCGCGATGCCGCAGGCAGCTGGGATTCGAGTCCTTGTCGCACTCACGATCCGGCCGGAAACGTCCTTTGTCCAGGACCGCCTGGTCAAGGGTGCAGGGACACAGGGGCAAATCGGCGGCAAAGTTCCTGCAAAGCGAAGCGGCACAATGATTTTTAGTCTAGGGAAAGTCCCTTTATTGTAATCCTGCGCTAATTAGAAGGCAGGGTCCAGGCGATATGGCCGAGTTCGCGTCCAATTTCCCCCCTTCGCGTTGGGTTGCTTTTAATTAGCGCGGCAAATGCAAATGCATATTTGTTGAGTCTTACCTGAGGAATCGGTCGCTGCGAATCCAATTATCGCAGAGAGCTCGCGGCCAGCGCTTTCCGTGCTGTCGCTCCCACTGGGGTGCCATATACCAGCCCAATGGTATGGGGCGGGACCACAGGATTCTGCGAGGGAAATTGAAAACGAAAATGGTGAAAATGCATTGTGAAACTGTGAGCCAAAGATTCATTTCCATGGCTGACATTAATCATACGCCCCGTCATCCATTCGTACAGGTGGCACAATGACAGCTAATAAACAAGGAAAAAGGACTCCGCTTTTGACGAGCAACACGAATTCACCATTAGGCGACGCCTAGTTAGCACCGCTCACTGCTGCCATGGTGATATTTTTCATTAAGTTTTCACAATTACCCGGCCATCAAATGGAAATTAAATGTTGAAACAATGCTAACAATTTATTCCAGAGCCCACCCACGGCCACTTTGGACCCGGCTAACGACACCCAAAGGTGCCATAAACCAAAAAAAAAGAAAGAAGAAATGGTTTTATATTGCGTCTTCAGGGAAACACTAAGAGAAATCAGGGGAATGGTTGATGGTCCATAATCAGACAATCATCTATCACTTAAATTTATGAAATATTTATATGCAAAGAAATTAAGTTGCTGGAATTTTAACAAATGATACTTATATATAAAGGTTTTCTTTAAGTTTAGTTCTATATTCAATCAATTTATTCAATCTCTGTGCAATCCTAATGTTCCGAATGAACAGCACTCAAATTTCAAGCCCAGATACAGCTTGTATATTGGAACAACACATTTTTTATGGGTCGGAAGATGATTCGGGTTTAAGTGCTAAATAATTGCAGGATGTGAACGTGAAAGGCTTAAATGCGAAAGATGGCGGACAAAAATACTGGCGATTACCACTGGCCGAGGCCATTAAAAACACATTTCCATTATTGATTAGCTCCGAGAATGTCTCGCAATTACAGGCTGTCATAATAAGCAATCTTCGTTCCAGCCAGAGCAAATTGATTGAAGCTTGAGTGGATGACGATGGTGATGATGATGTTGTTGTTGCAAATGATGGTGGAATCTGGTGGCACAACCAAAGTGCATTTCAGCCCAGTCTCATTGTCATTGAAATTGCCCCGACAAATTGAATAAAAACATGGGATAGACCATCCGTCCATCGGAGCGGCAGGCACTCGACACTGAGCTGACACATTGAGACAACCAAGAACCAATTAAAACATAATAACAATGGAATCTGGAAGGGATTGAGGGAAGTGCAATTTAAACCAACTGACTGAATAAATTATTTCCCATTAAGTTGGCTATATAAAGTTGAAGGAAAAACTAGTAGGAAGTTGGTTGTAATTAGAGTGAGTACTTTTCTAAGATTTTTTTAAATTCACACCGCAATTTAAAACCATTTCTCTTATTTGTAATAAATGAAAGCAGTAGGAGGAAGTTATGTAAACTTAACAGCAACGTTAGCTTCCACCTAAAATATTTCTCCTCCCTTATAATTACTAAATTCTTAGCTTAAAATTAGTTAATTTATTTAGCTTTCTACTCACGGACTAATGGAGAGGCCGGAATACTGCTCGGGCTGGGTGAGATTGATCTGAAGGAAGCCAAACTGCATGTCCCGGTTGATGTTGTTGCGGTTCAAATAATTCGAGGGTGTGATCACATAACTGCCAGTATTGGAATAGCTAGCCTCGATCACATCAATGTACTCCAGCTGAGGTTCGATCTTGGTCTCACGGTAACCCCACAGCGAGATCATCACATTGGCATTCAGGTTGGAGGTCATGTTGTAGCGATCCCACGTGATGCGGATCTCGGCGGGATTTTTCTTGTGCACATCATCGGTGGCGAAGAAGATCTTCTCGGTGGCAGCGGCCGGAGTCTCCACAAAGTACTTGCCGCGCCACTTGAAACGCTGCGTGCCCACAGAGATCTGGAAACGGATATATCCCTCGGCCTTGAGGTATGGTTGCACGCAGATAACACGATTCCTATCCACATAGGTACCCAACACAGATTCCGTATCGAAATGGCAAGTCACCCGGATGTTTGGATCGAAGCACGGTCCGGTGATATTTACCACCTGACCACCCAACATGTTGCCGGATTCGGGGGCAAAAGTCAATGGCAGCAAAGCAGCATCTAATTAAATATAAATTATAATTAGTTACGGTATCCGAATGGAAAGGATCCCTGTTGAACCTACCAATATCCTTGTTGCAGGAACCAATTAGAATCTGCTCGTCCACGCGGAATATATGACGTCCCGGGAATCCGTTGGCCCATCCTCTAATGGCCAAGTCCCTAATCACCATGTTCTGGCTGTATGGCTTGTACTCGTAGGCCTGAGTGCCGTTTCCTGCATTAAAACCGACCTGAAAACGGGGGTTAAGTTCACTCATCAGTAAATGGAAATATCATGTGCAGAGGGGGGTCTTGGCCCATTGCAATTAAATGCACATGCATGCGGATCTCTCACACATTTAATTAACTGTTCACAAAGTTGGCCATTAGTGTGTTTCGGGGCTTAGGCAAAGTTTAAATTGTGCGTTTAATTACTGCAAGTGCCTGCAGGCTGAAGAGGTCTCGACTCGCAAAATGGTTTAGCAAACATAAAATAATTAGAGTAAACGATAATTGTAATTATTACAAGTGGTGCTTAAATAGATAGCTTAAGAAATTTAAAGGTAAATATTACTTGTGAAACTTGAAACTAATTAAGAACTTTTGTTACGTAATTATTTATATGTAAAGTATGAATATTTATTAAATACTTCAAAAACTTAATAATTATATTCAAGCTTTAAAATGGGTCACACTCTTTTCTTTAGAAATTCCTTTTTACAAACTCTCAGCCACAAAAACTTCACTTTCTCGTTACAAATTCTTTTTGATTGCCCTACGAATCACCTAAGCAAACAGAACAGAACATCCTGGGGAAACTACAACCCTTCCCTCACAATCAGTTAGGAAAAAGTTTCCTACGAAGTCAACTGTTTAATTGAGTGCCAACCGACAGAATGGAAATAAACAAAAAAACTAGAAGTAGAGGATGTTCAAGGACCACTTACAAATGCAGGAACACCGCCAGCTCCCTGGGTTGTATCTCCTCCAGCCTCTGTATGGGAAAGCCAGTTGAGGATGGCATAGTTGAAGATAATGTAGGTGTAGACTTCATCGGTGGCCAAGACCATTTGGAAGGTGTTTGTCTATGGGATAATAATTTTAAATTTAATATTGAACTTATATTTGTTATTGATAAAATAAGATTGCTGTTTAATTCGGCAATAAATCAAATTCGGCAATAAATCTTAGCTCACCGTGAAGAGGGAGTTATCGATGCCACCGGCAAAGGACACGTTCTTCCAGGTGGCGATCACCACATGCTTGGGAATGAAGGTATCGGCGCCAACGACGCCCTGTCGGATATCCCACATGGTGCGCTCACGCACCTCCACACCGAAGCGGTCCGTGCGACCCATCAGATCACGTTCCACGCTGCAAGTAGGAATGGTTTCTGCGTCAGTTTCCGGCTCATGTGCGATGGGAAATTAAGGAGCAAGGAGCCAGGAGTATATGCAAAACGAAATTCGGTTGGCGTCTGGCTGGATGATAAATGGATTCGATGTTCGGCATATAAATCAGAACGCAGGCGGGGGAGACAGAGATACTGATTTTTGCTCCTCCTCATTACGTTCTCGGCTAAGGCATATTTTCATAAACATTTTATTTATTTTACGCTCTCGTGAGCACTTTCAAGTGTGTTTCTCAGGGGCCAATGTTGGTGGATGGGTGGGTATGGGAATCCGTATCGACGGCCGACACATTGGCGACGCCACTGCGGCAACGTGGCGTATGATTTATATGCTTTAATTATTCATTACGCATACGCCGCAAGCACCCCACACAGCCGCCGGCTGAAGCACTTCAAACTGTTCCCATTCTCGCGCTCATAAATTGCTTTAAGCCAGTTTGGGTTAAATTACAACCGAGCTCAATAGAAAATGCTTAGACAAAAGCCATTCTCCCTGCCAGACAAATAAATCTTAAGCCGATTTACCAAAGGGCGAATTTTTTTTTATTATCCTGCAGCAGCCTTTTGATTTGAAGTTGGCCACATCGATCCAACTTAACCGAGTTTTCATTGCCGGACAATTGCATTGGAATTACTCCGACCTAACCGAGAGGTGGACAATTGAGGAGGGGATTGGCAAAGCTTCTCTGGCCGACATAAGAGGCTTAGCAAATGAAGCGTCCGGCTCAATATAAACATGTTCATGTGCGTGTCGAAGAAGCGAACTAAAAACTCACTATCCCACCTAATGGGGAGGCATTTCCATAGAATTCGAAATGGAAATAAATAATGGATATATTCAAATTGAATTTTAAATGAAAAAAGAGTAAAGGATTTTTGCCAAATTTAGTTGAATTTAGTTGAATTGCTGTTCGGTTTCTTTTGATTATTTTATGACAGGTGTTTTCATGTCATAAATGTCTTGATAAAATTAACAATGAACAGGCAATCAGTATTATAGCTCAGATCTAAACGGTTTTGGTGAATTCAGTAAACTTATGCTCATAAATAAAAAACCTTAGAAAGTGAAATGTAGGTTTACTACAATTTAAGGAATTTATGTACTTACTTAAAAGGTGTTATTACCGAATTACAATGAAGAGAATCACTTTAAACTTGTTGAATTGCTCGCTCGCTTTACTAAACTAAAACTGTTTACCACTAATTTAATCCTATTACAATTCAGCTAAATTAATTCTAATATTTCTAGTATAATTCAATATTTTCCCGTACCTTTATTACGTTCAATAAATTATTGAATAAAAGCCCTTACTATAGAGTATTCCCTTGGGTAAACTAATTCCCAGGCGTTTTGACCAGGACATTCATTTGGAACTATAACAATTGAAATCGAAAAACTCGTTATGCTCCTACAGAATGTCTGTGTTTCTGGCAAACAAAGATGAATGTGTACCATTTTCTATTTGCATTTGACCGGTAACATTTTATTGATTTTCCTTTGGCATTTGTTCGTGCATACACACCCACACCCATCACACCCCCACCCACACACTCACATAGATGAAAATGCAAACAAATATGAGCAGCAAAGGCAGTGAAGTGGAGGCCATTTACCCCTCCATCCAACTATACATATATTTATTAACACTTGAACAATTCCATAATAAATACTCATAATGCAGCCATAATGATCCGACACATACCCGTGTGTACATGCATTAAATTTTCAATATTTGAGGGTCTCATAAATTATAACTGGCAGCAGCTGGCAATGGAAATAAATTACAAAATTACACTTTCCTTCCTGGCAGAGCAGGCTTAAAAAAACAAAAAAAATAAAAGAAGAAAAGCAAAAAACGTTTGCTGAAAATGTGCAAAAACCGCATGCCAGGGCCAAAAGAAGAAGATAACCGCACACACAGTCCCACACTGGCATAGTTTATCATCTGCTTTGCTCTGTGCAAAAAAAGAACTTTAAAAGTCTGCAATTGACATTCGGTCTACAAAAAATAAAAAAAAGAAATGAAAATTGTCACTCAGCCTAGAAATGCGCGCGCAGCAGCCAAAAACAGCCACAGACTCGGCAACTTTTACGTGTAAGTAAGCCAAAAAGCCACACACATTTATACAGGCACTGAGAGAAAATTCTTAAAAAAATAAAATATTTATTTCAGGGTAATTTAGACCATTTTAAAAAATATTTTGATGAAATCGGTTGGTTTCTACATTAACTATTTTTACTCTTTATATTATTATATAGTTAGTCTTGCTAACAATATTAATTCCCTTAATAGAATCCAGTATTCAGTAAAGAGTTTAAGTTAAAGAGTCAAAAAATGTACGAAAAAATTGAAATTTTTTTAATTAGAAGTTGAGTATGCAGATTTATTAACCTAATAAAAACTAGCATAAGAAAGCTTCCCGAAGTGAAATTAATGCATTTTTGGCTTAGTTATGAGATTTTTAGCTTTGAATTATTGAAAAACTTATAATATAAAAATATCAATAAGCATCAATTCAAAGAATGTGAATATTTTAAGCATATGTTATACTCTATCCTATAAAAACTCCTTAGTTTTACTACTTGTTTTCCCTCTGTGCAGCCATAGAAAGAGTCACGAAAAAAAAGTAATAGAAACTCGGAGGCTCACATATTTATATACGTAACCAAGTCGAGCTCCCATTTTTGCCTCCGCCTCCATGTTAACCCCCCAAAGACCCGACGCTTTCCACTTCTTGAACTGCGCCATTATGTACTTTATTGCATACATTCGGGCGCTGCCACAGTTTTGTCTGCATTTGTAGGTTAAAATGCCTTTTCGCCGCTTTTGCATGGAAGGCTTCGACCCGCGACCCGCTCCCTTCCTTATCCTTTCCTTATCCTCCTTTTCAGCCATGTCTCCGTCTCCGTCTCAGTCTTGGCCGTGTGGCCCAATTCCATCTCGGGTGTAAATGAAAGTGAAACAATGGCTGTACTTAAAGAAAATGGCGAAAATTGCATGTAAGCTGCAGAGCCATCGCGCGGAAAGCGTTCTCTTTCTGCCCCGCCAAGGACAAAGGACGAAAGGGGGGTGCGCAGGTTCTTGTTATGATTGGCAAAAGGGAATAATGAAGCGGCATTATTATGGCGCCACGGTTATAAAGAATAAAGACTGTTTGTTGTTGGCAAAAGAAACTTTTCGGTTAACTAAAAGGAACACTTTTCACTACTAAGCTTCTGTTCTTAAAGTTTATGTGAATGAGGAAAAGTGCTGGAAAATATTACAGTTAAAGATAAAAGCAATGTGTGTTTTTAGCTTGTAGGTCTTAAATACATTTTAAAATGTTTTAATCTGCCTTCCATCTCATTGTTTTAAGTTTATTAATATTATCACTTCAATTTTTACAGTATAACAAAGCTCTCTTAATTTTTTAAATTAAGCTATAAACTATATTATCTTGAAGCAAAACAATTTTTTCAGGACAAAGTATAATTAAATAACCGCCCAAACTGGGGAATTCTCCCCGCCTTTTAATCAACAATTCCCTTTGACACCTTTGACCCATTGTTTGCTCCTGCCAAAAATGTTTTAATTGCGCAAAGGTTGGCCGGCAATTACGATTTCGTTTCTTGCCGACCCTTGGCAAACAAACAATTAAAAGCGCAACGCACATTTACACCAAACGGAAATCATACAAACCACACACATTGCTGACAAAGTTTGAAGCGTTTAACACATGTCAGGAAATGAAAAGAAAGAAAAAAACACATAACCCAAAACACCCTGGGAAAAAAACCTGAACAAACGACACCCCACTTGGCATTAAGTTTTTATTCGCTAAACGTTTGCGTGTGTAATTAAACGTACGCTCATAATGAATTTAATGCTCAAAGTGGACGGCGGACAACGTGGCGTATGCGCGACGCCCAGCACTTTGAGCTAATCCAACGCTGAACACTAAGTGTGAGCGTGTAATTAAATTGATGCGAAATAATTATATGCAGAAGTTGTCGATTGAGGGGAGAGGTGTGTGTAAGAGGGGGAAAGTTGGGAAGGGTGTTTTTTCCCGGGAGAAGGGTGGGCAGCAATTTTACATTGCTCGCATTTCACAGTTCTCTTGCTCTTCCTGGCTTCTTTATCTTTTGCACCATGCAAAGTTATTTAAATTAAATTCCAGTCACAGCTCCACTCACTGTCCACACTCCAGCACAGCCACACGCAGGTGCAGTGAGAGAAAATAAGTGTTATATTTTATGTGCAAGATAAAATTATAAAGAAAAATATAGAAAGACCTTTTCGTCAAGCTCTATACAGACTTAAGAATCTGTAAACTTATTAAAATACTTGTTGATATGTTAACTTTTATTAATTCTTGTAAAAAAATATAGAATCTCTGAAACTTTCTTTCAGTGTTCTCATCAAAGTTTGGCTGAGCATTTTCCCTTGATGTCAAAGACAATTAAATGTCACTGGTTGACCGTGGACTCTAAGGGGGTTTTTTTGCCATTGAACGAGTTATGCGGAGCAAGTTTGACATATTGTCGGTCTGTGTTAAAAACTATAAAACTATAAAAATTGCATAGAAGAGTACACGCTTTTTTCCTGCTACTTGTGCAGTTCGCAGGATGTTAATTGCTCCGTTGTGGCAATTTATCAGCCAGGCCAACGCAAAGTGTTGACAACAATCTACATCCTCTGAAAAGGACAGTGAAAGAGAGCAAAAACTGAATAGCAAAACATTTATCTTCCAATGCTTTAAAACATTCATAAAGCTGTCAAATTGATTAAATCATTCAAAACCTTTTTTCTTCAGCTTTTATATTTGAATTCCAGAACAAGCATACACATCCCTCAACAGACTTGTCATTCTGTGTCACTTTGCAGAAATTTATGCTCTGTCTTTCAGTTTTTTTCTTTCACTTTTCCCTGAAAGTCATGAAATTTGAGGCTACTGAAAGCATGTACCCATAATTTATGCTCCAAATAGCGAAATCTGCCACAAAACTAAGGGTTAACCACTAGCCAGCCAGTGATTTAAGATGGAACTTTCTGGCTTTAACTAATTAATGCACTTTTGAGTGGCTGGCTTTTTTTTGTTTCCCGGGATTACAGAATTTGTAAAGGCTTTATTTTTTGATGCTGCCGCTCTTGCCGTTGGCAACCCACATAAATAGCCCACAAATAACTTTTAACCCCCCGCTGGCATTCATTTGCATAATTAGCCATGGAAAGCCCGAAAAAAACAGCAATAGGAAACATAAAAAAAAAACTCATGCTTGTATAAATTTAAACATTGTCCTCGGAAAGTGCAGGGCCAACTGAATATAATTAGAGACAAATTGGATCACAGAGAGCTTTGCATTCTTCTCCAACTGCATCAGTATGGAAATTCCTTTACAGGATTCACCGGTTGAACGGCATTTTATGATATTTTCCTTGCAATGAGTCCTGAACAATGCAGCAGGACTATTGGACCATCAAATTTGCAATGAATGCACGCATCGACATAAACATAATGGAGAAGGAAATCCACTGGCAGCAGATAGTGCCACAGTTGCCGAAGGACATTATGGAGCAACAGAGAACAGGTAACCGCCATGCAAATAAAGCAAAAATACGGGGGCTATAAATGACAGTAACGAGCACCGAAACAATATCCATGACAAACAATGCTGAAGGTTTAAATATTCTACCAGTGAATATTTCTATACTCTTATAAATATATTATATTCTCTTCTATAAATGAACTGAAAACAAAACTCTTCACAAGCGAGTAAACTGAATAACTTTTAAGCTAAGTAAACATTCTTTCAACAAAATATATCGCTTTAAAGTAAAACAAGTGGTTTTGCCGAATTCTCTGCTTAATAAATCATACCCTTTAGAAACCCATATGCATAAATGCAGCCTGAAAATGGAGCAACCGGAAATGAAGAGTGGAGTGTATACATAACACACACTCATGCCAGCAGCTAACTGGCTATTTTGTGTTAGTTTTCAGTCGCACGTAGAACGAATATATAAACGTATAAATACTTTCTCCGTGGCGCGTGCTCGGTGCTGATTTTGAATATGCAAATGCCACGAGAAACAAGGCAAATAAATATGGTTAGCAAATAAATGCAAACGGGGGCAGTGGAATGGCGAATGGTTAGATAGAGATGTCATGAATGCCATGATTCAGGGATGTATGTTAGACTCACCGGAAGTAGACGCCGGGCGTGCGCTGGTCAATATCGGAGGGATATATGCGGCCAACACGGCACTTGCTGAAGAAGATGCCCATGAAGGAGGGATCCCGCTTGGCAGGCCAGTCCTTGATCGGGAAAACCAGAGGATATGTGAGATACTCTGGAGGATCCGAGAACTCCAAGTAGCCGTTGAGGGAGAGCTGTTGAAAAGGTGAAGGAATATATGTAGGAAATCCTTATAACTTATACTTAATACCATTCTATCATATTATTAAAAACTTACCCTCGTGTAGTTGAAGCGGAATCCATAGAATGGCAGTTGGAAGTTAAGATTCTTGTGGAGCTGTGTCATCGAGGCATGAATGTCGAACTGGTAGTCAGCGCGTCCTCCGAACATGTCCTTGTCGAAGTACCAGTACATGAAGGTCTGCCGGAGCTCAGCAAGACGGGCAGCGGTAATGGTATATCCTCCGGCCGCTGTCGAAGGACTTGTGGGCGGTGCAACATTGTTATTGGGATCTACGGAAGAAAGAGGAGCCGAAGACAAATAGCTTAGTAGGGAGAACTCTGGCCTATCATTATAATTTCACGCCTAATCCCGGAAGATTACTTTTTCAATTCCACAATATTATCCAGCCAGCACTGGCTGCCGACGGAGGCATAAAGTGAAAAGAAAACTTTGCACAGCTTCGTCGGGGGCTCTTTTGCATTTTCTGCATTTTCTGGCTGCAACTTGGCTACATCCCCTGGCCACTTCCACGTTCCGGGCACTTGGCCATTAAAGGTCACAGTTAATATTCATTTCTGTCCTGCCTTTCTTGCTCTCCTTCCCGCTCTTCTAATTTCTTTTCACCGCTGCTGGTGCTCCTGCTCCTGCTGCTGGCCTTTTAAAGCAATTTAAGCTGATTAAGTGCAAAGCTGACGGTTCCCATTGGACACTGCTCCTGTAACAGGAGCCCGGACAGTGGCAATGGCAGTGGATCCGCTTAAGGATATTGCTCCTGACGCTGACCAGAAACTTAAATTGCTGGCGAAGTTTTTGTGGAGGAGCTCTGTGCAAGGATTTCCAAATATTTCTGACATCTCCTTGGAGAGAGGACTGAGGTTGCATCCAGAATGGTAAAGAAAATGTAAAGTAATTTTCAAGGGAAATTGTTCTGTAATGCCCTTTAAGTTTTAGTTTACAGCATAATAACAGCAAAAGACATTAGAGAAAATTATTTCGGAATACGTTTATTGAAATGTAACAAATTTTATTAAACAGATTGTTTTTATTTTATGAAATTTTGGTAAACTTCTTCGTTCATTCCGTTTAGTATTCTTTTAAACCCAATATATATGTTTCATTTTGCAGTAATTTTCTGTTATTTAAACCTTAAGCTTCACTAATAACTCCCATCCATTAATTATGATATTCAATTAAGACCCTGTGCCACCTTTTTTCTCCCTTGTGCATAGTAATTTCGCCCGTCTATCGCAATTTGCATTGAATAAGTGCAATTTGCAGTTGTATCCTGCATTTATAATTTCCCCTTTTTCCACCCGTTTTCACACTTCCCTGTCTCTTTTTGCTGTCCTGTTCTGTTTTGCCAGCTGTCAATTGCCGAGTGTATAGTGAATTATTGGCCATTAATTGCATTGATTTTGATTGTAATGAGCCAGCTAATGAAACGTCAACAGAGCAGAGCGAAGAGATTGGACCATAAAACCAGATCGTTGGAATATTTCTCGAACATCCCAGAAAACATCTGTCGCGTTTTTAAGCTATTTATGAATTAATGCCCCCGAAAAGGACGAGAGTGGATCGTAAATCGTAAGCTAATCCTTTTTGTGAGTTCCTCATAAAAGTGCGCGGATTAGCACCGGAGCAGTTGCCGTCTTTTTCGTGAAAATTAGTGCGCGGAAAACACGCAAAATTCGCGTGTTCGGGTTGCGCTTCACGGGAAATCTGGCCTCTTGCCATTTTCCTTTTTTATCTTTATGACAGAGCCCCAGCTCAGGTAGTTTTCCCCGAATCCAGCCCCAGGCGAGTCAAGTTGAGCCGCAGCAGCTGTTGGGATTTAGCAGAGACTTCAGGTAGGACTTGCTGTAAGAGCAGGTAGTCCGAAGGATAGACACTATATAAGTTTACGTTTCCTGACCACTTCATCACAGTCTGAAAACAGCATTCAACATGAGCATCAGCACGTTTAACTTCCAGTTCTACAACTACAAACTGAATCCCGCGTCTCCTGGCTTCGGCAGTGCCATGGCTTTGGGCTCTGGCACTAGCACTGGCTCTGGCTCTGGTTCCACATCCCGCACCTCAACCTCCAACTCCTTCATCAGCGAACTGGAAATGGACATTGACGAGGACATGTCTGCGCCATCTGTCACTTCCACGCCAAAACCGCGCTTCACCAGCCAACTTTCCCTGGAGCTGACCAAAAATCAGAATGCGGAGAGCATTCAGGCACTGCGACCCAAATTGCATACAGCACAGAAGCGCTGGTCCATGGAGTTGCGGGAAAAGGTCCTGGAAATGTCCAAACGGAATAATGCTTCCGATGTGGAGCTGAACAAACCGCAGGCCACAATGCAGCAGGAGGAAGTTCAACAGCAACTGCAACTGCAACTGCAACATGAGCCGCAACACTTGCAACAGGAAACAGACGCCGCTGCTGTTGCACCCACTGTCAGCGACAAGATCAACTTCTTCAACAAGCTGACCAACACCTTTGAGTCCTCCGGCAATACCAACTCCCATCGAAATCGATTCATATCTCTGTTGCGTTCAAGTCGACCCCAGGTGGCTGCCACCACCACCGGTAGCAATAGCTCTCTGAGCTCCATCAGCTCCCAGATGACCGCCACCCAGATGGTGCCACCACCCAAGCCCAAACGATTGGGTGCATCTGCTCCGGTTCCCTCTCCATTTGCCACGCCCACGGGCGTGGGCAAGGGTGGCAGCCATCGCAAGTGCTCGCTGCGCCGCAAGCCATCGATGGACAAGTCACGGGCCACCATTTCGCGGCAGAACTCGAGCGCAACTGTGCGACCCCAGCATCATGCCATCATGGAGGACCTCAGTTTGGTGGTTCCTGTACGAATGCGCATCGCCGAGTACGAGCAACGCATCTCGATGAGTGCGTAAGGGATCAGACATCAAGGACCAATGACCCCGAGGCGGTTTACAGTGCAAATTGTGCGTTCCCAAGGACAATTCGAGCGCAAATTCTAGTTCTAAGTTTAGTCTAAGCTTTTAAAGACATTTCAAATATACAATATATGAAGCAAAACTATGTTTTTTTACTGGGACAACAAATTTTGGGAACAAGAAAACTCTCTTCCATATTTTTTTTTTTTGGTTTTAGATAATGTTACTGTACTAATGATGACACATTTTAAGCTGTGAGTCATATTAAAAGTTGTTAGATTTTGATTGTATATAAAATCTAATCCTTAAACATATATTAGACGGCAGTTTATCAACCGATACTAAGATTTGACAACATTGACATAAGACCTACCTAAGCCCAACCCTTTTAATCGCATAACCACAAACGAACAAAGACCTCTGACTAATATAGGAAAAAATCCAATTCCCTTACCGAATAGCCAATATTTCAGTACTGAGCGAATGATAAAACGAGTTGCTTTTGCAATTGCCAACGGAGGTTGTAAACTGAATCACGCAAGTCCATGTACTCCAAATGCTCTCTTATGTCCACAGAGATATGGGATATGTACTGCTCTGTCTATATATACATACATGAACCCCATGTACCACGCACTTGTTTTGTTTGCCGACCAAAAGGTGGAGCAGAAAACAAGGGAATCGTTAGCTTTTAATGCCTCAACCCGGGCATTATCTTATCGGAGCCAAACAGAGAGAGGGAAAACTTGGAAAAAGAGAGCTTACAACACCTGCCCGAGGTGGGTGAGTGGGTGAGCCAGCGAACAGGTTATCGAGCAAATATTGGTAACTAAACCGAGCTGAAGCCAACTGAGCTTGCTGCCCCGATAAGATAGCCCAACCAGCGGGCAACGCGGCGTATGAGTAATATTCTATGTTAACTGAATCAGCGCAGGGACACTGAATACTCACCCCAATTGTAACCACTGTTGTCCACGTCGTACAGCTCGCCCAGATAGTCATTCGGCATGATGAGGGCTCCGGACATGGCCTGTGGTTTCAAACCGGCCACAGTCAGGACATCATCCGTACCCCGGCTGTCGACATGCACCACAGGTATCATCCTCTGGCCACCAACACCCACATTCTTGGCAGGCTTTTGGGTGGTGAGCACTGATGGTTTTGTGGTCGGATTCACCACCACCACCTTCTTGGGATCGGGTGTAGCCTTTGGTACATCCACAAATTCAGCCTGAGGTTTGGGTTTCGCTGGGGCCTTGGGTTGCTCCACCGGCACTGCGTTCATTATTTGATCCTCAAATTCCACTTCCTCCACGGAGAAGTTTTCGTTGGCCAGGACATAGGCCATAAAGCCACAGGCCAGCGCACAAACCAAAAACAGTTTGAAGCGCATTTTCACTCGCTCTCGTTAGCACTTATAGTAATTCGTAATTCGATTTTTTCGTTTCACTGCTAAAAGAAAAATTAAAGATATATTTTAGGAATCTTTTCACTATTTTTAAAGCAATTTTTAGGATATTTCACTTAGTTTTTCCAGCAGTTTTCACAATTTTTCACTATTACAGATGATAAGGGAGTGGCTTCTTCTGGAATCAACTATTATTTCTTGAATATCATTGAAGCATTATAATTTCATTACAAAATTGCTTTAGTTTTCACTATATTTCTTTAATTTATCCCATTTTTCCTTGGTTTTCTTCAACAATTTTCACTTGATGACATCATCAGCTCGGAGGCCATAGGCTTATCAGTCTTCTTATCACTTTGTCACCAATTTTGGAATTTATTTCCCAATTACCAGGCAGAAAAACACGTTCGTTGCAGCGAGCCGCTCAGCTAAAACTAAAACTGAACTGATCGGGGCGTTGCCAAAACTCTTTTCACCTGTCGCTGTCTAGTCGATTGTGAAACATTTCCTTATCGGCCAGATAAAGTAAACCATATCTAATCATTGAAACTCACGCACTGATAACGCATTCCTTGCGGCGTTTCCCTCGCTTTTTCACTCTCTTTTTTGATCTCTGTGCTCTAGATTGTGCAAGTTGGCCAAAGTTACCAATTTATTTGTTTACTCCAGTATTCGGGATATACATAAACGAGTAAAATGGCGGGGAGGAACTGCTCTCTGTTGACTGTGGACACTCGGCGATATTCGTGATTCATTTTCATTCCAGTTAATCATCAGCGTTTGTCATGACGCGGCCATTTTGTGGAAAATTGAATGGGCCGTATAGGGAGTATATATATATATATATATATGTATATGCATGTATTCTTACAGATTACACTTCCGCTATAATTATAGACAATGACCCATTACCGCCCATCATACGGCATTTCCGCTGCAGCTCAAGTTTTATGAATGGCCGACGCCGGCGAAAGGCCTACGGATTGATTTCATTAGGCCATGAAAGTGTCATGGCCTTCATTAATGAAGAAATAAACAAGGCAAGAATACGGGTAGCTCGGGTAATGGAAGAGATAAAATAAATACATTTTCAGCGGGAATATTTGGGTGTACTCAAAGGCTAAGGGACTTTCTTAATGCACATTTCTTAAGCCAACCTGGAAGCAAGAAGAATGAAAGTTATTTAAATAATATTACCATGGATAAACAAGGTATTTAAAAAGTAGAAAACAAGGTAAATATGCAATAAATAATAGAAGAAATATAAATATATAATTATTAATAAAGTTAAAAATGTAATTAAATTTATTGCCAATCCTTTATTTTAGTCAACCCTTATTTTAGGTAGTTTTACACGATGTTTAAGCCTTTACTAAATTCTTCCTATATTTGTATGACTTTCCTGACAATATTGCGGCTAATCTTAACCTTATTAACATTTTAACAGATATACTTACCATTTAGTTTAGTCAATTTAAGTTAATGAAATTAACCCTTACCCAAAAACCACATACATTTTTAGACTCTTGAGTCATTCTGCCTTAAGAATTCACCTCGTTTTTTTTTAACTCTCCGACAAATAACCAACATCAATTACTGGCCAGCGAACCTGCTGCATTATCAGCTTTAGTAACTGATAAGAAACGGTTTCGAAATACCAACTAGGGCCATGTTTTGGTGTCATTATCATTAGCTACATGTGTATAACAGAACCCAAACGGGCACTGTTAATTAACAGACCCAACCTTATGTTCCATTGATCCCTAAAGTAGGCCACAAAAAAGTGTATAAAAGAGATGTGTATCAAAGAGAGGAACATTTTATACTCTCTTCTGCTTATCAGCATTCGGAATACTTAAGGGGGTCCCGGACTCCAAACAAATTTTAATAGATTTCAGTTCTGGGTCGAACCGCGACGGCAACAGTGGACCGAGTGTGTATTCGCGTATTTTTATTTTTATCAGGTGATCCGGCAGATTTCCGTACTACTTCCCATTGATCAGCATGCTGCGTTACTTTACGAGTTCCGATTTGCAAATCGCCAGACTGCCACGCCCACTCTCGCGGAACTATCACAGTGAGAAGGGTGTTTGGGGATACAAACCGAGTCCACGGCGTGAATTTCAAGGTATTGCCACAAGTTTTCAGTGCCTAATCCCAAAGTGTTGCCAAGACTTCAATAATAATAAAAAAGGCCTCATCCGTCGAGATAAGCATCGCGTCGATAAGAAATGTATACCAAGATCAAAAACAACTAAATGAGCAGTGGAAATGTATTCCGAAATCAACAGGAGTTTTCTGTGCTGTGTGCCTGAGTCTGTGTTTTGTGTAGTGGCCCCTTGACCCCTCCCTAATTTCCAAGCCGGCTGTTTATCACCGTTCGGTGTGACCCAAGCAGCTGACCAACAACAAATGCCACAACAACTCCATGAAACAACAACAATTAAAACAAAAGATCAAAAACAAATTGCTGCGGCTAAACTCAGAAACCAAACGGAAAAGTCAAACTCAAATACGAACTCAATCCCGGGGCGTTTGTGACTTTAGCCTGCACTTCGAACATGTTTGAGCCAAACCTGTTGTATCTGTTTCTATCATAAATACCCTCTATATAGAGGGGTATATACGGGAAGAGTGTTTGAATGTTTTAATACAATATACAAATTTAAGATACAGCAGCTATTATTTATATTTATAGCCTTGCAAGGTATTAAAGGTATAGTTAGAAGCTTGAAACGCAGTGACCCTATAAATCTTATATATTCTTGATCAGCATCAACAGGCGAATAGATCTAGCTATGTCAGAGCAAAATTTATTTATTTCAAAAATTTAAATTTTTTATAAGGAAAAAAACTTAAATTTTTTTAAAATTTAAATTGAGTATACAGGTTTGTTAATCTTATAAAAACTATCGTAGGAAAGCTTTCCGAATCTAAATATTTTAAGCTTTGATTTTTCACTATAATTCTTATATAAAAATATCAATAAATATCTATTCAAAGAATGCAAAAATTAAGCTTTGTTACCTTCAGCTGAGAACCAATATTTATTTAGCATATTTATATAAATATTCCTTATATACAATTTAAAAATGTATTTAAGAAGACAAACAATTTGCGGTTAAAAAGGTATGTTCCTTCATCAGTATTATTTAATAATTTACCAGCTCATTGTTTATACCATCTAAGAAATACAATTCCTGCTGGCTAGTGGAATATTTTTTATGGTTTTAATGTTGCCTTCTTTCCTGTTACCTGGCCGTACTAATCTCTGGTTTTCAGCTTATCACTTGTTCTCCGAGCGACAAATCTGATAAACTTGAAATATATATGGTGCAGTCCAGTGTTAGGGGTTTATATTTAGAGCTAAGAGATTGCGAGAGACCTCCCATGGTCTGTTTACGAAACTGCACTAATTAAGCAAAGACAGACCAAAGGAGATATTCCACACGAAAACTCACAACGGGGAGTCTGCCAAAAGCTTGAAAAAATATCAAAGTCCGGTGAACAATAGACCGAAAAACGGAGACTCCTTTGTGCTCGTCCTGCATCCTCAGTTGCGTACACAATTGAGGGCTTATCGACACCGTGGCCAGCAGTCCATTGAAGGCAGTGTTAGTGGACACCAGTCGGTAGTCAGCCGGGAGCCTTTAACAGGCAGAGAGGAGCCTTCAATGGTTTGGGCTTTTGCTGCTGGAACGGTCGCCATATGACATCAGCAACAAGAGTCACTGCACTGAAAATTTTGTTGGGAAAAGTTTACAGGAAATTAGAATATAATAGTATATTGTTCTGTATATACAAATTGATTATGAGGTTTACAATTACCATTTCAAAAATATATTTCAAAACAAGCCACTTATTTTTAGTCTTTTAATTCTTCAACCCACGTCTCAATGGGTTAAAATATTATTCTAGGTAAAGAACACAATTATACAATTAATTTTACTATGTATCACTCCTATTAAAATTTAATTTCCCCATTTAAAATATAAATTTTCCTGTATGCAGTCTGATTAAATTCACATGACAGCCTCCTGGGAGGATACAGGAGGCGACTTCTGCTGTGCCCGCCAACTTGTTTGCTTGCCTTGCGTCCTTTGCCTGCATCTCGGCGAGGGCAACCATTATCCTTTGGCAAAGGACGCGCCGCTGTGCTCCAATAATATTTACACGCCCAAGTTGAAATGTTGTCGCCGCAAATACAATTCATCATTCCTGTCCTGTCCAGGGCGACCTTACACTTTAACATTAAATTGATTTATCACCGAAAATGTTGTCGAGAAATTGCATAAATTTTTGAGGAAACTCAATTTTAATGTGGGTCCAAAACTGGCAACTGCCAAAATGTTAATGCCAAACGCCAGCTGCTGGAGATTCTGTGACCCGTGTCCTGTCCCACGGATTTTCCAAGGGGGTTTTTTTTGGTAATCGAGTGATATGCGTCATCGCATATAAATCCTCTAAGCAGGATAACACTTTAGCACGTAAACACCTAAGCAGCAAACGAGTTGTCAATGGCTCAACCAGAGAATGAAATGGTCGAAAAAAGGACCAATAAAAACAACCATTGCCATTTCTCATATGAAACACAAATCCGGCATTTGTTTGTCCATAAACAAACATTGAATACTCTTTTTTGGCTATTTGGGAATATTTATTAAATAAATAAATATTTGATATATTTAGCTGAAATATTTATGCGTTTTGCTATGATAACTAAACTGACACAGAAACAATTGATTTAAACAAACAAACATACCTATCAATTAGCATTTGATTGTGCAGAAGGTCACCAGTTCAGAATTAATAAATAAATGTAAATTATAATTTACATACCATGGAAAAGCAATCGCTTACATTTCGCTTGGCATTTTTCAATGGGAATCCAGATCGAATCCCAAATATTTGCGGGGCAAATATCATTCGAAAGTGCACATACCTCGCAGCTAGTCCATCAAAATGAAGCGGAGCGTAAAAAGCAAAGAATAAATATCATAAAAGTAAAAGGCCAATAAATTCAAAAGGCCGCACACTGTGGCAGAGGCAATAGCAATGGCCGTGGCAATGGGAGATGCACGTGAATCCTTTTTTAAATAATTTATAACGTGAGTCGAAATTTATATTGTTTACGCATGTGTTCATTCCAGTGGCCGAGGATGTGCGGGCATCGAGGAACTCGCAGGGCAATGTCTATCGTTTCGTTGAGGCCTTTCGCCAGCACGGACACAAATTGGCGACCGTAAATCCCATCAGCATCAGGGCGAGGTAGGTGGAGTCCTGGAGAGTCCTGTTGTGGACCACGCTTGGACCCCCAGAAATCATGCCGGCAAATGTCATATTTTATTCTCCCTTCCTGCTCTCCCTTTCATTGTTTGTAATGTCACCCACCCGATGTCCTGACTGCGTGTATTTGTCCTGTGAATTTTCGT